CCAGAAGCAAGCGGCTGCGCTGGCATCAGAAACTGAGGTGGAGGAATCACTTCTTGTGGTGGAACCCGCGTCGCCGCCAGTAGCGCTTCATGCTTCGCGTTCAGCGTGTTGAACTGTGTGCCGAGACGGTTCGCATTGGAATATTTGCGCTCCTGGAAAGCCACAAGGTTCCTGGACAGAGAGGAAATCTGAGCCTGCACCACTGACAAGTCGACTATCTGAGCTGGCTGCACAGGTGTCGTCTGCTGTGGCGTCGTCATTCGTATGCTCCGTCGCGAAGCAGCCGAGGTGGCGCCGACTCCTTCGCCTCCTGTCATCTCGGCCTGCTCCGCATCGGTCTCCATGGCCGCGGGCTCGCCTTGAGGCTCTCAATTCACAGGTTCCACACTCTCGATCTCTGCAAGAGACTGCTGATGTCGGTGAACCCAATGTTCGGAAAGTTCTCGCTGCGCTCGAAGTGTGTCGAGCTCGGCCTCCTTGGCTTGAACAGCCTGATCTTGCGAATCCAGACGCGCCTGCGATCGCTGCAACGCAGCCCGCTGGCGCTCCTTCTGCTGCTCCCATGGGCGGCAGAGGTGGATCGCAGTGAGGAGGATCGCGTACCACTCTCGCTCCTCCTCCCCAGAGTCCCTTGCGGCTTCCTTCATGCGAATGGACGCTGCTAAGACCTTCATCTCCGCACGTCTCCGATTGGTATACTGCTTCCTCTCGGCCTCTGAGGCTTGTTCGTCGGGTAGCTGCGGGTAGCGATGGTGATATACTGCGTGAGCTGGAAGGGCTGCCAGTCTGTTCAGAGGGGAAGTGGCATCGCCCCCCTCCTCCTCCTCGCCTGCGAAGTTTACGGATGGGGATCTCTGGCGCGCCCGCTCTGGCTGACCACGTCTCCCCGGGGACATGCGTCGAGTAGGCGTCCGCTGGGTTGACTGCTGACCATCTGTCTGCGGGTGCCGAAGCCACGGACCCCGAACCATTCCGTACGTCATCGGCGCCTGCTGGCCATTGAATTGCACACCACTTCGAGGCCCCTGACGCTGAGGACCCGCATGACGAGGAGGAGCATGACCGCGACCGCTGGGCATGGCATTGCTCTGACTTGGCATACACCCACCCCAGTACAGAACTGACAACCCACAGGATTGACGGTGCCACATCTTTTGCACAACCAGTCATCCTGCATCGGACATTGGGCAGAATGATGACTAAGCAATCGGGTCTGGGCAGCAGCGAATCTCAACAACAAACGATCGTCGGTCCTCCGCTGTCTGGCTCGCCTGTGCCAGGCGCCCTCGGGCTTGTCCCTTGGAATCGCGGTTGGCCGCTGCCCTAGCGGCTGGCACGCTAGGCTCGGATTGGATCTGGCTGGGAAATAGCATAATTGCCGACATCCAAACAACACCGCCATGAAATGCCTCCGACGGCTCGGGCCTTAGGAGGAGGAGGAGGAGAAGAGGAGGAGGGGGAGGAGGAGGATGAGGAGGAGAAGGAGGAGAAGGGTACATTGAAGGAAGATTGGGGACTGCATGGAAGGATTGGGGGATGCAGGGACGGACGGATGGAGGAAGGAGGGATGAGCAACGAGAGATGGATGGTGAGAGGACTTGACGACGAGGGAGGGACGACGGAGAGAGGAATGAGTACATGTTGATGGGTGGAGGGATTGACGGAGGCAGGAAGGATGGATAAGGGATGTAGAGATTAGGCATCAGGGAGGATGTAGCATAAATGGTGGGAGTCGGGATGGAGGGAGAAGGGATGGGCGGATGACTGATGAAACAATGGGGGATGAAGGATGACGGACGAATAGAGTGAGGAGGCAGGAGGGATGAGTTGATGGCTGAAGGGACTGGGGCAGGGAGGGATGCTGGAGGGAAGGAGGGAATGAGGAGGGATGGATGTGCAAAGGGATCGAGGGATCGATGGCAGAGGGATGCAGACACGAAAGATCAGGAATGATGGACAGATGCGTGGAGGGAGGACGGGTGGAAGGATGCAAGATGCAAGAGTGGAAGGATTGATAGGGGACAGATCGTTGGAAGGAAGAGGTCGGATGGATGATGGAGGATGGACGGAGGCACGACATTGAGCTTGTATTGGGGACGGAGACGCAGCACCGCTTGATTCTGCCGCGCTCTGCTGTCATGTGCTGCTCGGGCAATGGTGTTCACAAGTGATGCGGTGTCCACAGGCGTCCTGGTGCTCGCAGTCATGGTAGTGTTCAGGCTTTGTTGGGCTCACAATCAGTGCTGCGCGTATGTGAGCCCAATCTGTGCCACGTATCAAGAACGAAAACGAAATCCACGCCGTCCACTTAGGATACGTGCGTCGCCTTCTAGAGCCACAGGCATTGGAAGGCAATGGATTGCAGGTAACAGTGATGCCAGCGGCAACACGAGGACCGCGACGGTGCCAGCCACATCTCGCCTTTGCTTCCCATTGCTTGTGTCGGCCTTCTTACAGGATGGCACAACCGTATGGGAGCGCGACAGGATTACTCACCTGGAAGCAAATTCGTATAAGCTAGGAAATAATCCTTAACCCCAAAATCGATCGCATGGGGCAGCCAACGAAGCAGCCAACGAGGCAGCCCACGAGGCAGCCAACGAGGCAGCCAACGAGGCAACCCACGAAGTAGCCCACGAGGCAGCCAACAACGCATTCAACGAGGCAACCCAAGAGGCAGCCCACGAGACATCCAACAAGGCAGCCAAAAACGCAGCCAGCAAGGAGGCCGCCGACTAGGCAGCTGGCCAAGCAATCCGCGAGGTAGCCAGCGAGGCAACCACCGAGGCAGCCAACGAGGCAGCCGACAGGGCAGCCAACAAGGCAGCCAACGATGTAGCCAACAACGCAGCCAACCAGGCAGCCAACGAAACCTCCAGGCAACCACCGTGGCAGCCAACAAGTGGGATCCTAAAACGGATCACCCTTGCGCGTCTGCGCGCATGCATGTCGTGCAGACCGCGTCAATCCCCACGCAGTGGCAACATTCGAGCCTTATTGCGCCATCGATGTAAAGGGCGTCGGAGAACGATGGTGCCTTCCACACTTGGACTGGGGACATCTTTCAGGACGAAACACTCGTTCCACGAGAGCGCTGCCAAGAAGCCGATGTGCGGCCCAGAACACCCTCACGCACACCCGAGGGATTTATTGCTGCTCAGCGCGCTCTCAAGAAGTTTCTCAGACCATCTCGTGGCACAAAGGAGATGGCGGCATACATGCTGAAGTCAGAAAAGAATTTTGGATGCGGCATCAGGACAGTGCGTCGCGCGTTGTCGGATAATGGATGTTAGTGCCGCCGGCTGCACGAGAAGCCCGACATTTCAGTTACGGGCAGGAGCGGCCGCCTGGAGTGGGCCCGCGAGCGCAAGCACCGCAGCCCCAGCCAATGGGCGCAGTACATCCACACGCGCATGGACAAAATGGTTTTCCAGGTGCTGCCTATTGCGAGATGCAGGAAGGTGGCGGCCTGGCGGAGTCTTCGCGGGGTGCACAGCAAGCTCGAGCGGGACTACTGCGTGGGCCACGCCGAGCCGAGCAACCTGGAGGTTCTCGGCAGGCGCAAGTCGGGCGTAGCGCCGGGGCCCTTCGGCGTCAGGCCAGTGGTAGACGGCGCTCTCCGATCTGGCTGACCCCCCAGGCTCTGAAGCAGGATTGGGGCAAGGGCTCCGTGAGCGTTGTGCGCGCCATCGGCGCGGGCAACATGTTGATGCGGTATCGGGCGGGCGGCAGGTGGGGCGCCGATGCCGCGGAGCGCATGTGATCGGGGCCGCTCCGGGCCGCCCTGAAGAAGGCGTGCCTTTCCGTGCGCGGCAAGTTCCGCGTCGCGGCGGACAGCGACTCCGCGGGCTACAAATCTCGCAGCGGCATGGCGGCAAAGAAGTCCGCTTGCACCCTCGCGTTGGACTTGCCGATGCGTCCCCCTCATTTGATGCCGCTTGATTTTGATTTCTGGGTCAATCTGAACGAGCGCATTCGGCGGCGAGAGAATTATAGGCCCGAGAGCAAGGCGGAGACGCGGGCGCAGTACCTCACCCCGCCGCGCCGCACGGCGATGGCGACGCCTTCTGAGTTCATCCGCAGCATCACGGGCGGCCTGCGCAAGCACTATCGCATGCTGGAGGAGGCGAAGGGCGGCGACTTCGCATGTGGTGGCGGGAACTGAGCGCGCCCGCGCGGCTTTCTCGGGCGGCCTCGGCGCGGCCCGCAGCGGGCCGGGGCGGCGGGCGGCCCGTTGCGGCCTGGCCCTCGGGTGACCTGCGCGAGCGTCCGCGTCGCAGCTGGCGGCGGGCCGGGGCGGCGGGTTGCCCGCAGTGGCTCGCGCGTCGACTGGCCCGCGCGAGCGTCGTGGGGCGCGTGGAGGGGGGCAGCCGTAACTCCTTATTGAGACGCCCCCCTTGCCCGCGGCTGGAGCGCTGTCGGGCGGCTTCGAAAACGCGTCATCTTCACGTTCGCACCTTGCTGAGGTCCGCCCGGGCACTTGGCGCTAGCTTCCAGGCGGCCCCGGAGAGCCTTGCAATTCCTCCTGTCTCGCATCATGAACCCACTGTGAACCGCCAGTGGACCATGGTAACAAACGCATTAACTTCGATTCTGGCTGAAGTATTTGGCATCGGTAATTTTTAGATCTAGTTCAAGGTTCGCTGCGTTTGTACTATGATTCACGGAAGGATCACTCTAGGTTCAAAATCTGTTTGGCTGCATGTCAATGGGGCGTGTAAGCGCGCTGGGCGCGCCGAGTGCGCCGGGCGCAGCGGGCGCGCAGCGCGCGGCGGGTAGGCTATGCGTGCAGGGTGAATGGTGCGCGCCGCGCGCGACAGGCGCGCCGCGCGCTTCAGGCGCAGCAGGCTTTCCCACGACGCTGCTCGGAGGTGGCCGCGCCCCCCCCCCCCCCAAACGCCCCAGCAACGCCTTGGAGTGATCGGGCGCGCCTGGGCTGTCCTGGGGCGCCCGGAGATCTTCGACGTCGGATCACTCTTCGTGGCTTGCGCTCTCAAGAG